GTGTGTGTGTGAGACGCGGGAGCTGATGGCAGGGGGCGGTGGATATTTGGGGTGGTCAGTGTGGATATTGTGGATGAGTTTTTCTGTGTCATCATGTTCTATTAGTTCTACAGCTTCAGTTTTGGAACTTTCACGCTTAGTAACACGTACAGCTGTTCCCTCACCACAGTGCAACAGTGAAAAGGGACCCCTCTCAAACAGTGTCGCGTTCCAAATGTTGTTTAAGCAACATACTGTATTGCGGTATTTAAAAAATTCATATCATAACAAAAATAAACACCAGTATTTGGTATGAAGAACCGGTATACCGCCCAGCACTACTTTTAATAATTTTTTATTTAGTTGTAATTAATTTATTTTATTTATTTATTTATTGCATTTTACAAAGGCTTTTTAAATATTAATTAACAGTGATGCAGTTTTTCGTCATTTTCTTGTTTTCGGTCTTGTTAAATGGTTTGGTATTGTGCAATGATCTAAAAGCTAATTGTTCTCTGAATGACTTTTCCCTTGTCATTTCAGGAAGAATCCTCAACCGGTTCTCCAAAGACATCGGCCACCTTGATTCCTTACTTCCGTGGACATTTGTGGATTTTATCCAGGTACATTTTACAGCGCAGTGTCTGTTAAACACCACATAATCTGCACATGCTGACGTGGCTGTATTAGAACACCCATCACTTGTGGCCATATGCATTATTCGCTCTGGTAAACCAAGTGTTGTAGACCAACAACATGTTGTGGCTTTTTCCCTGGCAAATGACAATGTGGTCAGTACGTGGGTGACAGGCGTCACTTTATGTGCTCAGAGCACTATTGTCTGAAACTTGACAGACTGAGTTGGAAGTACAATAGTCTTTCATTTAAGGAGCTTTTCATTGTGCGGGGCAGCAGAATCCTCCTTGTTCTCTCTTAGGATGAGAAAACTCTGCGGTCACTTAGCCTTTCCCACAGTCCTCTCTCTCACTATTGGTTCCCTTTAGTGTGACAGCAAAGTCAGCATGCATTGTTGAATAGTTCCTAAAGAATGGCATTCTACTATTCTGCTGGTACTATTTATCAATATTGGTGCATTCAAGATGGAATGATCAGACTTACAAGAACGCCACTATATAATTTAAGGAATCATGGAGGAAGTTATTATCATTTGCTCTTCGTTTTCTCGCACTAGTGCCAAAAAACGTGTTGTTAACGTGTTTAGTGAAAGTTGAGATGTAGGAAACATTGCCC